TGGCATTAGACAGACGGAGAGCTCGTCTGCACAGCTCTGTACCCAACATGCACCCGGTGGTCAAAGTGGCTGGGCTCCCTCTGACTTCTCCTACAGAGCGTTCTCATGGCCACTTATGTATTTTTATTTTTCATTTATTTCTGCTAAGTAAAGCTGGTAAAGTAAGAGCCCCTCCAACTCTAATATTTTATAATTCCCTGAGCAGAAGACCCTGTCCTTACAATTGTTTAATCAAAATATAGCTTAAAAATTTCTCTTTTATTTAACCTTAGTATTTTCTTTCTTCTTCTTCTTTTTCAACTAAACCTCAGCTTATCTTGGTTTCACCGATATTCTTTTCTCCTGTGACAAAAGCAGCACAGGGTGACTTATTCGAGGCCACACCCCAATAGAGGTGAACTCTGGGCCCCACAGTCCCCCGTGTTAGGTAACTTATCTCCTACAATAAAGGCGAGTCTTTCTGTGCTCCTAAAGTGTACAGATGAGTAATCGTATGCTATGTAATAAATTTTCCAAAGATTCATAATCTGCAAGACAAGATGGAAGTGGCTCCTCGCCTAAGAGATGAAGAAGGACATTAGTATCCCCCGATATTCTGTGGCTGTCCAGTCCCTGAGGCTCATCCTTTCTCCCAGTGTGGTCCTTATATCATCTGCATCTGAAACATGTGCAGGGCACCTATTAAATATATGCAATCCCAGGCTTACTGCACCCTGGTAAATCAGAATGTCTTGGCTTGGAACCTGGGAATCTGTGTTTTAACTAGATTCTCCAGTCAATGTTGAGGTACTCTAAGGTACAGGTACTCTGACTACCTACTTTCAGCACAATTCAGCGTCCTTGTTCCTCAAGTGTCATTGCCAGACCAGCAGCCTCAACATCAACGAGAAGCTTGTTAGAAACACAGAATCTTGGCCTCACCCCAGACTTCCAGAACGAGAATCTCCATTTTACCCAAACCTCACTGATTCAATGAAGTGCATTAAAATGTAAAAATTACTGCTCCTGATCATGTTTCTCAAACACTTGTTATTTGTCTATTTTTATAATATATGTTTTTAATTTGTAAATAGTATACTATGTTTACTTACTATTTTATTTTTTTCTTCCTTTTTTTTTATTATTCAGCCTTTTTTTTTAATTTATTTACTTTTTAAATACATTTGTCTCTGCCTCCCCTCCACCTCTTTCCCTTGCCCCCTCCCATCTTCCCTCCCTCAGCTCTTCCCCTTTGGTTTTGTCCATGAGTCCTTGCTATATGTTCCTTGACTTTCCCCTTCCCTTCCCTTTCCCTACCCCCCCCCCCCCTTCTCTCTTGTCTCTGTTGATTTCTTTTCCTTTCAGGGTTGCTGGTCATATTTTCCTTGCATCTTTGCATTGTTGGTTAGGTTCCGCTTATAGGTGAGATCATATGGTATTTGTCTTTCGCCCCCTGGCTTATTTCGCTTAGCATGATGCTCTCCAATTCCATCCATGCTGTTGCAAAGTTTAGTACTTCTTTTTTTCTTTCTGCTGCGTAGTACTCCATTGTGTATATGTACCATAATTTTTTGATCCAATCATCTACTAATGGGCATTTAGGTTGCTTCCAAGACTTGGCTATTGTAAATTGTGCTGCTATGAACATTGGGGTGCATAGGTTCTTTTGTATTTTAAAAATACAAAAAAGGTACTTACTATTTTAAAAAGATAGATCTATGTTTTAACTTTTAATTTAGCTTTGTCTTAGGAAAAACTAGTCATGGAATCATGGGTTTCAAGATATAGTTAACTTTTGACAGAACATTAAAATATATGCATAATGATGACAGTGAAAATGCTTGCCTTCTTAGCACACAGAGTCACCTCACCGACCGCAGGTAGTCCATGGGCCCCGTGGGTGAGGCTGGCACTGAATGCCGAACACCTTATACAACACAGGCCCTCACTCATACTGCAGAGGAGAAAAGTAAGTGCCACGAAGAGGAGGGTTGTGTTGACAAAGTTAACACAGCCCTACGTGGCAGAAACAGGACCAAAATCACAAGGTGTTTCTCTGACAGGTGCTTATTAGATTTTTCTTATGTCTAGACGGGAGAAAAACCGTTTGTACCTTCTTTAGTTCAAAGAACCTACCATCATTGGTTCCCTTCCATTCAGTTAGGTAATTCCTGTTTTCCTTCGATAGCGCGTATCTGTCAGTTGGGAGCTGACCACACATTTACAAACCCTCACTATGTATTGGTGATTTCCCACCTACTCAAACCGTGCCTTCCCAAAGTAGGATCCAGAATACTCACAACCCCAGACTCCCTTGTAGCCAGGCTGAGGCATGTGACCTGTGTTAGTCAATCAGATGTTCCAAAAGGGAATGAGCCTGGAAGTAAGCAGTGGAAGGATACCCCTGCGCACCAGGAAGTCTGAAATAAGGCTTGTCGGTGTTCAAGACTGGCAGTGTCAGAGTTCCTGGCAGCTGGCCCTAAATGTGACAGGTGCTGAGCTGTGGTAGCAGCAGCAGAAGCTCCCACGATGTGGCTGGGCATTGTTTCTGGCTGTGAAGCTTTAGGTTCTTTCTGCCAGAGCTTCCTGTACTTCTCTATGAACTACCTGCTAGCCTTAAGAAATTCTTTTTTTGGCTTGATCTATTCAGAGTGCATTCCAATTGCAATTCATAATCTTAACCAATACATCTTAATAGTTGTGGTCTTCTACAGAGAGATTCCTAATGCAGGTTCAACCTTGGCTTCCTCACCTGTACAGGAAAGTAGTTAAGAAAGAAGTTTCCTGAGATCTCTTCCAGCAATAAAATTGTGTGATATTATGAATTACTATTTTCATAGAGGCTTTAATAAGAGCCTACCTAGCTTCTTCACTAAACATCTTACTATAATTAATTTGAGTTAGAAATAGTGATGCCACTTAAGCACTTTGGATCTTCCAAGGCCAGCAGGAGTGATATTATTTGTGCACGTAATTCTCATTTTGTAAAGATTCTTATAAAACAGTTCTTCAAGACATGGTGACTATTCTATAATACATACCTTATGAATAAGCTTCAAATTAAATATTTAATATTTAATAAAGATAGACTTGGTTTTCCTAATAATTGTGAATTTATCACTCATTTTAACTTTCAAGTAGAATGTGTCCAGAATCAAGAAAACCAGTGTTAATTCTCACCACCAATTACATGTAGGATTTTGTCATGCCTTTTTGAATGTGTTGAGAAAATATTATTTTTGCCTTTGTGTGTTATGATAATTACTTGTGTAATAAAGGCTTCAAATGATCACAAATGCTATTACTCCCATCTTTTCTAAATGAGGCATGGGAATGATTTAATTTTATTTATTTATTTATTTTTTAGGTGATGATAATACTAAGGTAAAGACCTTTCAATCGCGGATCAAAAGAAAAAATAAGAAAGTATATTATATATATATTTTTTCTTCCAATCTGTACAAGAGCGAAAGATACAAGAAAGAAAGGAAGGAAGACTTAAACCCAGGGAAAACTAATATTCAGAAAATTGGTAAAGCAAAGTGAGTCAGGAAACCATAGTGAGAAAGAATAACTGGAGAGAGAAGAGTGGAAGTAGGAGGGGGCAGTGTTTTGGAAGCCAAGGTAAGAATGCCAAGTTTGCCATTAAATACTAAAACAATAAACATGTGGCTAAAATATCTCCCCCTGCCAGCTAAGACCCACCGCCCCCCCGCCCCTGCCGGAGCTTCCGAAGACTGAGCAGGCTTTGGGGAAAACATCCAAAGCCTTTATAACCACTCCACCTCAGAATGATTAAATGATAACTTCTTGCGCAGGAGAAAAAGATGGAAAAGGGGCTACCTTCAAGAAGAAATGAGTGTGATTTTCCACAATGCACAGCCCTTCCAAGAGTTTAGGTATAACAATTCTGGAAACCATTTACAAATGAATTACTAAATCTCCTTGGCTTGCAGTTTTGCCAATGAGGCATAATTCAGAGGTATAATTTAAGCATAAGTTAAATAAAGGTTCTAATACCATAAGAAACAGAACATGTCAAGAAAAATCTTTTTTAGTTAGGATGGTGTTCAACTCTATGCCCAGCCTCTTCTCATTTCTCAGCTGAGTTTTGGTTCTGGAACCATTTAGTGGCTTGGAAAACAGCCAGGGTTCCAGGAGCCAATAAAATATTAACTCTTCACCAAGCAAGTAACCTACAAGAGAAGGTCCACAGACCTCCTTAGGAGAGCCACCAGTTTTAAGGAAAAATGCTGACTTAAAAAGATGTACAGACAGTCTTGAAATAGGTTAAGGTTTTTGATTGTCTTGCACACACTGGAAGAGCGCAAGTTGAAATGGGCCAAATATAACTTTTATATATTATTAAAATCTACTAGCTAAAATTGTAGTTCCTTGTCTTGAAAGGTAACATTTCAGTGATTTTTATAAGTTGCAAAGCTTTGACGGGTTACATTACCAAAGAATGCTCAATGAGATCTTATGAGGCTCAGCATGTCCAGGACCTTGTGTGAACAAAAAACCTGAGTTAAACTCTACCTCCATCTCACCGGCTTGGTGATCTTGTCAAGAATACATAACCTCTCTGAGCTCTGGTTTTCTCAGGCATGTACAAAGGAATAATAATTGTAAGGTTAGGAGGACAGGATAATTATATAGCACACTTAGAAGAGAGCCTGGTATAATTAATGCTCAGTAAGACAATTTGAATTATTTTCTGAATAGGTGGGAGGACTATATGTCTTACAGTATGTACAGAAGTACAATATTATTTAGTGATATTTATGAAAATAATGTTCATTGTACACATTAATATATGCCAGTAAAAATTGTAACATAAATGGTTATAGTAGGTTTTAAATCAAGTCATTAAAAAATTTCATTCCCCCAGTGCAGAAATGATACTTTGTTCAAAGTCTTTCAGTGATCTATGGATGCCGTTTGCCTTCCCCGTAAGCCCCATCCACTCACGGCACACCGCAGCGCAGAGGAGTTTCTGTGGTGTTTAGGAAATGACTGACCTTGCCAGCCGGGGCTGTTCCACCAGCACGGGTTCTGGAGGGTTGACTGCTCCCATGGCTTGTTGCTTTTTTCTTAAAAATAGAAAATATTTGTTTCAATGAGGGAAAGCACCTTAACAATGTAGCCAAGTGCAAATTTTCATACCAATACACATATCCTCTCAAGAAAAACCAGACTATATAATATACAAAGTACACAAAAAATTTACATCTTTCAATTTTTTTATGTCTTTGCCTGAAGACTATATCCGTATTTTTCTTTATTTTATTAAATTTATTGGGATGACGTTGGTTAACAGGGTGATGTAGGTTTCAAATGTACGTTTCTAGGATACACAACCGGTATATTGTATTATATGCCCAACTATATCAATATTAGAAAGGAAGAGTAAGTTGAATAAATCCCAACTGTTCAATATTCAATGATTTTGGAGAACAGCAAAAACCCTCACATGGGCCGGTGCCACTTTCTACCACAATGCACTTCCAGAAACTAAGGAGCCACTGCTTTCTATGTGCAGTGCTATAGCGAGTACATTTAGTACACCCTCTATGGAGGGTGATTTAGCAGGAAGTAACGAAGATGTAATTCTACATCTAAAAACTCATCTTAGGGAAATAACATGATAAGAGCAAAAGCCTTTTTCTTCCAAGATACTCTCATCACAGTATCACAACATAAAAATCTGAAAACAATACAAGTAATAATGCATGTTTATGGAGTATTTACCATGTGCCAGGTAATTATTCTATTAGAATAATGAAATTATAGACAATGATAGGATAATAATGCTCTAATAATAGAATATACGAGAGTAGGTATTGTAAATGCTCTAAGCATTTTAAGTTCCATGTATGATTTATTTCATCCTTCTATTCCTGGATATGAAGCTGGTACTGTTGTTAACTCCATTTTGTGGATGAGGAGGCTGAAGAATGGAATGGGTGCAAAATGTGACCATAGTCACAGAGAGTAAAGAGAAGGATGTCAGCTTTAGACCCTATTTTCTCATCTCGCTACCCTGCCTCCAGCAATCAGGGCCTATGTTAGAGATGCCTACAGGATGCACTATTGTGCTGCTATTAAATATCATGTTGAGAAGAGCCTTTCTTTAAATGCAGAATATTATTCCTATTTTATATAATATGACCTCGGAAGTTCATGCGGCTTATCTTCTGATGGTAGGGTTAGAGTGATTTTTTAAAAATATTCTTCATTATGCCTTTTTGTATTTTCTTTCATAACTGTAACTATTTAACTGATAAAAGGACAATGAATGGGAGAGGACATATAAAATACACAGTTGCTTTCTCAAAAAGGCCTTGATAGCTTATATCTCTTATGAATATATTTCAAAGAAGCAAGCATATAAACTATAAAGTTTTATCATATAAAATGGTGAGATTAGCCTCTGTCTATAAAATATGAATAACATAGTCTAAACATTGAATAGAGGGAGGATTATAATGCACTAATTAGCTGACACATAACACATTAAAGAGTTTATGCAGAAGAATTTTTAAAAGTATATAATTGAGAATAATGAGGTTTAATTGTTTAAAATTTGACAGAAATATTTAGCAACATTTGCACTGCTTATCTTTTTTTAAATGCCTGCCATGGAAGCTTGAGCAAAGGCCTTCTTTTCTCTCAGGGTAGATGTTGCTTTAGCAAGGAGAAAAGCCAAACCTTAGCTTGCTGTCCTCAAAGTATTGCATAACCTCTACATGCCCACTGGCTGACCATCTCGGGGCGCTTCGGGAAGATCCATCACCGGAAGAGTAGGGGGACACATTTTTATAAAATGGGTATCTAAGGGGCCTCAAAGGCATTTGCAAGAGTCGTAGGTTCCCAGGCATCACCTGTAGACTATGTAGTATCTCCCAAGCACACACACACACACTAGCATCAACCACGAGAAGAAAAATCCTAGATAAATGTGATAGAAATAAAAGAGGCTGCTAAAAAGCTAGTAATGCAAGTGTGATATGGGAGACACTGAAAGAGGGATATGGCATAAAGTTTCTCCATATCCCAAGTCTCTTTTCATAATATAAAGTATATTAACAAATAGCTTCTGATAACCGCTGTTATACATAGATTCAGTGTAAGGGACCAAACATAAGAAATAAAGACAAGAACACAGCGATGAGTTTGTTCACCTTAGCCTTGTTACCCTTTACACCTCCTCATTTTCCAGGGAGGAGACTGAAGCCCAGAACAGCATATCATTGTCCAGTGTCCCCAGCTGTCCCACGCTCCAGATATTAGTGTTTGGTCTCAGCTACAATCAAGGAAGGTCACGTTCCTATGCTGTGCTAACTAGAACTTCCATTCATTACAGCCAAGCCTACAGACTGAACCCTGACTCATCTGTTAATGAATTCCACTGAAGCAAATGAGAGTTAAAATACTTGCCTTTTGGATGAGTTATGAAACTATTAAGTTAAAAATAATAACAATTAAACACAGGCTGATTTTTATTTTACCTCTATATCAATTCGAAGTGTACTTTAAAAACATGATTTGATAATAAGTTCAATGTCTTTTAACTCAAAAGATGACTCAAATGTTGAGGATCTCTCAGCTTTCGTATGGGTGTGACCTGTTACCCGGAAGCTTGCCTTGTCTCCTGAGCTGCCTAGATGACCTAGTCTACAAAGGACCAATTTAATTCATCCAAAACAAGAGTAGAATTTGTAAAAATTGTCTTTCATTAACTTTTTATCTAACAAATATTCATTAAGCCCTTAGTCAATGTCAGGCTTGTAAAAGATGACAGAAAAGCTCAGAAACACTACGCAAAGACCAGAGCACAGATTCCTCATTCTCAAGTTAGTAACCAACATTCAATTATAGATTGTTTGGCTGATATACAAGATTTGGTTCTCTTTCTCCAATGATGTCTGATTTCAAACATTCGTTCATTCATTCACTCGCTCATTGGACGCTATGAGCCTCATCCTATTCTAGGCAGTAGGAATGTAATGACCATGTAAACAGGAACAGCTCCTACACTTAGAGTGCTTCCATTCTAGTCAGAGGACTCGAAATTAGTCAACAGCAAACAGGATAATTTCAGCACGTGATGAGTGCTGAAAAGACACTAAGTCAGGGTAATGAAACGCAGTGACTGGCTGAGGTTGCTTCAGACAGGATAGACAAAAGTGATGTTTGACTCAGACCTGACTGCCAATAAACCGATCATGTAAACATGGGATGGGGGAGAAGAGGCAGTCTAGGTAGGCAGAGTGCCATGTACAAGGGCCCTGAGGTGGGAATGGCACGTTGGAGGAACAGAAAGAAGTCAGCGCAGGTGAAGTGTGGTGGGCACAGGTGTGCGGTATGAGGTGAGACAGGACGCTGGGTCACGATGTTTAGTCTGAAGTGACCGCGATTTGGGATGGCCCCGCTGTCAGGTATGTCTGAGATCACCAGTGTCTTCCAGCTTCGGCCTGCTTCCTGATCTTTTCTAGGTGCCATCTAGCCCTTGTGAGTCTTCCTTGGCCTCCAGGTGATAGGTTCTCAAAGTCCTCTGGCTTCATGTCACCTCCTGCTTAGTTTTGCTGGTGCCTTCCTCACCTCCGCTCCCCCATCCCCTTACCAACGTCACTGGTCCTTAGAAACCCCACTGGGGCCTGGAGAGAACTTTACTTAGCTCGGTGTGCACATTCATTAACTAGTAATATGGCTGGATCTACCCTGGGATAGAACAGAATTAATGCGTCTACTCACAGAAGGCAGAAACTCTCAAAATAAGCTCATTTGTCTATGCCTCTGCATGTGTCCTAACAGACAGGCGAACTCTCGCCTGGAAAAGATTAAGATGGTAAATGAGGATACCAATACTATGACAATTCAAATTCTGAGTTAAATTATTTTTCCATAAACCTACAGATGAAAGGCCATGGAGCAGATTTTTCCTTGCCAACCAATCATGTTCCTACTCATTTATGAGCTCTTGTTTGTTTAAGTTTTACAGAAAGGAAACCGTCAGGAACAGCCTGCCCTTTTTCCCCACCTGCCAAGTTGCAGGCCTGGCCGAGTCATGCCCTCCTAGCAGTCCATCATGTCACAGGGCCTCAGTCCTACTGATGGACGGGGACAGAAGAGCAATCCTCCACGCCCTGTTGGCCTCTACTGGACTCAAACTCCAGGACAGCATGTGTGGCCCATTTCCAGGGAACATGTGTGATCTCTCCCACTCAGGCAGACTCCTGAGTATACCCAGGCCCGGAGTCCCTGGACTGTGAAACCACACCTTCTACTATACGCAGTCTCACCCGCCTCCAAAAAGTGGTTCTGAGTCTGACAGCCAAGAGACCCACAAAGAGGCACCTCACGCTTGAGCAGAGAAGTTCAGTAAAGAATGCCAGATTAGATCAATTCTGTCTGCAGTCAAAAGGCATGAAAAGAATTAATTGCATACTTTTTTTGTATGTCTGTTCTGGCTCATAATAAAAAATTTTTATGGAACGAATCAGAACTGAAGTCTTGAAAACTGTTTTCAAAGTTACAATGATGTTCCAAGAGCAGGTGGAGAGTTGCTGTATCGCTATCTCCTAAAACTCTCAGGAAAGCCCCCGACTGAGGCCTTAGTGACTCTGCAAAGAACAGTACCACGTTCTTTAGAATATTGATCCTCTCTTTTGATACATGTGGCAAGAATCCTGGCTCTACCAACTGTCAGCTATGAAACCTTGGACAAGCTTATGAACATTTCTGAACATTAACTTTCTCATCTGAAAAATGGAATGGCCCTACCCATCCTCAGAGGGAAACTGTGAGGACGAAATGAGATGAGGTACAGCCTGAGGCCTGTGGGCCAAGGTGGGAACTCCCTGCTCTGAAGAGAGGCCCAAAGTCCTTGGCATCAGCAGAACAGACTGCACTCCCCAGGGGAACCCCTGTGGGCCTAGTTTTAACTCATGAGGAGTCTTAGTGACTGTTGAGGATTTTCTATGAGGTTTTATTATTTACATAATCAGAAAAAAAATAATTGTTTTTTCACTGGATACAAAAAAGTGATTTTTCCTTAGGACCAGCCACGATTCTCATAAGGGACATAGTT